TGGTCAAAGTGCTCTCCAACTCCTTCCCAGGACCTACCTTTCCGAATCCACTCAGAGGGGCCATTCTTCTGCACACGTGCAGAGCACACCAAAAACAGTGGGTCTTAAATTGCCTACTATCCACCACAAGCCAGAAGGAGATCAGAGAAAAGGAGAAATGAGTAACAGGTTCCAGTGACAAAGTGCTGTGAGCAATGAAGGGAGCTATCAGTGGAGGCTGCTGTTGTTACCGCTGTTGACCGGTGACGAGTCCTTGCTTCCCCAATGTTGAAGAATAACACCAGAAAAGGACACTGAGGCAAGGTCAGAGTAGAAATTAGAAGTTTATTAAAGGGCAGCAGAATAGACTTCTCCCGAGGAAGAAGGGGACCCAAGAGGTGGAATCCGTGGAAGTGCGGTTGTTTCCCCTTTTTATAGTTTTGGGGATGGAATGTAGGTTGGAAGTCCCAAGGGGTGGGACACAGGTGGGCCAAAGAAGTAATCTGGGCAGGAAGGACTTCTGAGTCAGCACCTTCAAGTTTGCTGGGGGCTGTTCATTAACATTCCTTTGAGGTGGACTTTGGCCTAGGGCCTTTTCAGGACTTCATTAACATTCCATGAGTTGTCCTGCGTTTCCTGGAATCATTCTCAGCATGGCCTCCATTTTAGATTTCACTGGGTATTAGACCCAATTTACCTAACTACACTGACTACCTAACTTTAAATCTGGCTTCACTGTGGTGTCCAAGTTGGCTTTGTGTGTTATGCTCGAATTCGGGACCCCTAAAAGACCACCAGAGACCCAAGATCCATGTAAGCAGCAAAGAGGCCTTTATTGCGAGCTACCTCGGTCCTCCGCACGCACACAGCAACTGGTGACGCTCAGAGGCCCCAGCCCAGGGTTTGCAGCAGTTTTATACATTCTTTGGAGAAGGCAGGGACCCCCACATACATCATAGCATCTCTTAGCAAATCATCACACACCGCGGGAAAATCAAATAACAACTCTAAAACATGATTAGCACCTTCACTGGCGGGAACAAGTTGGGTAGGGGTGATTGGTTACTACAAGAGGGTTTCATTTGAACTGATTGGTTTAGGCCATGTGGGGTGTATGTGCTGAACTACTTGGTTTCCCAACATGTTATCAACCACCATAAACTACTGGGAGGGTCATCTGGCATCCCAGGAATTTCCCTGTCTCATGCTGATTGGTGGCTGCTATGCTATGGTCCCCACCTTATTGAGTCAGGGACTCCTGGCGCAGCAGATCTCTCCTGTAGATAAACAAGTTAGCAGGGTGGGAATGTGCCTAGGAATGCTCTGTGGGTCTTTCCAAGGACAAAAGTCATGTCCCTTCCTTGGACAGGCTTTGCTCTGAGGTAGAGGCTGGTTTTTCATGTGGAAAAGGTGAACACATGGACCAGGCTGGGAACCCATGGAAAGATGTGGAGAAGAAAGCATTTCCTGTCAGGAACCAGGAGGAGCAAGGCTGTTATCCTTTATCAAGGCTTATTCCCTGTAGCATTGTGTTGAGTATGAAACACATTCAGATTTATGCATTATTTGATTTTCTCTATGCCCTTGTCAGGTAAGCAAGATAGACATTGTGGTCTTTATTTTAGAGAAATAGTAAACAACAACAACAACAACAACAAAGGAGATGAAGGAAATTGGCTCAAGTCACTCAGTTAGCAGCTAAGCAGACTGGGTCTAGTCCTCAGAACTTCTCCTGATTTTACAGACCCAACAGTTCAAGTAGCCCTCAAAGGACAAGTACGTAAATTTCCCTAATGTACAAATGAGGAAACTGAGGACTCAAAACGCAAAGCAAATTTTCCAAGGCTACACAAAATCAGCCTTATTCTCCACTGAAGGTGCTTTGCGTTATATTAGTTGGAGAGGAAATGGAGAGAAAAAATTCTTTTATCACAGAGAAAGAATTTTATCTCTTTGAGGAAACAAAAGATTTCCTAATTAATTAATTTATTTTAATTAGGCATATATGATAGCAGAATGCATTTTGATTTATTGACACAATTGCAGCACAACTTTGAATTTCTCTGGTTGTACACAATGTAGGGACACAGCACATGTGCAGCATATGTGTACCTATGGTAATGATGACCATCTCATTCCACCATCTTTCCTGCCCCCAAGCACTCTCCATACTCTCCCTCCCTTTTGCCCAAAGTTCCTCCATTTTCCCATGCCTCCCCACTTCTAATGTTTAATTATTGATGGGGTAACAATCTGTTAGTACAGCTGCATTTTAAAAAAGGTAAATTTTTATCAATCAAGAAATTTAAAAAAACATTTCTGAAAATGAAGTTGCCTAAGGAGATGGATCTATCTGGGGAAGGAAGTCTCCAAAATCTATACACAGTCTTCAGAATTTGTATTGCCTCTGATGAAGTTTCAGGTCTTTATCAATCGAAGAATAAAAAGGTTTTTTTTTTAAATTTAAAACAAAACTACTTTGGCCCAAAGGATAACTAGTATTTCCAGACAAGTACATAATTTGGCTGATATATATATATATATATTTTACACCAGAAATGGCATGGCTTGGGAAATGACTTGCTGAGAAATCTGTGTTTACATTAGGGAAAGTGAGGAAAAAAAATCCCTTGCAGAGTTGAAAAGAAGTTAAATGGTAAATACTAAAATGCCCAGCAAGCATATAAACAGGCTCCTATTCTAGCATGAATATGTGCAGCTCAGCATTTTAAAATTTACTTTTAGCTTTTCTAACAGTTTGAATTAACCCCTTCTCTCCTCTGCTCTCCTTCTGAGAGTTCAGCCCTTAACCTGTAGATGTGAATTAGGGGTTCTGTCATGGTCTTTTTTGAATCACCAGCAGACAATCCCTTCACTCTAACAGTGATTCTCTATTTCATAAAGCCATCTCTGACCCATACGAGTAGGCTACTACCTTAGTCTACTTTATGTTGCTATAACAAAATACTTGAAACTGGGTAATTTATAAGGAAAGAAATTCATTTGGCTCATGGTTCTGGAGGCTGGGAAGTCCAAGGTCAGGCTGCTGTATCTAGAAAGGGCTTTGTGGTGCTTTAACTCATGACAGAAAGTAGAAGATAAATCAGCATGTGCAGAAGAGCAGAGGGGACAAAGGTGGCTGACCTGCTTTATAGCAACCCACTCCTATGAGAATGAATCCAGTTCTGCAAAAAATCCATCAGTCCTTCTTGATAACATAGCCACTATTGAAAGGTCTCGCCATTTCTAAACACCATTATATTTGTAGTCAAATTTCAACATGAATTTTAGAGGGGACAAACCATATTTAAACTATGGCAGCCACATGGTGAATAAATGCCCCGTAAATTTTCTTATTATTCATGTAAGACAACCCATGACTTATAGTTTTTGACTTTATGATGGTGTGAAAGGGACACACATTTAGTAGAAACCATACTTTAAATTTTGAATCATAATATTTTCCTTGGCTAGTGATTTGCATTCCAATACTCTCTCATTGATGCTCAGCATCAGCATTGAGCTGCATTTTCCTGTCAAACTTGATATTATTGGACAAACAACCAATATTCTACAGGATACTGTGTTGCCAGGGTTGGAGGGATACTGTGTTTTGTGTTTTAGCATCTAATCATGTCTACATGATACCTAGCCGAGTGTGTTTGTGAGATATTCAACACTTTTTTTATACAACAGACCTTGTGTTAAGCTATCATGTTCAGCAAGTTAGGTGAACTTTAGACCTATGGTATTTTCAACTTATTACGAGTTTATCAGGATGTACCCTCATGGTAAGTTGAGGAGCATCTGTGATGCCCAGATGAACATTTGAAAGCAAGTTCACCTTGCATAAAATTGTAAGGCAAAATAATATCTATCAATGCCACAATAAAAGTACATTTAAAAAAAGTAGGAGAGGTTATCCAGGTTTCCATCAGAATCACCCAGAGAGACTGTTTTAGAAGTTGGCCCTAGCATTTGTAACTGTAAAACATCCTCAGATAATTCTAAAGTACATCCTTTGTTGAAAGAAACTAATCTAGATTGTCTCAAGGGCCAACCAAATTTTTCTCCTAATTTCAGTGCCTAATAAATTAAAATGAAAAACAAACAAATAAAAAATCCCCAACAAAAGAAGCAATTAAAACAGACAATGGGGGCTCCACTTGCCTACCATGTGTGAGGCACTGGGTTTGATCCTCAGCACTACATATAAATAAGCAAAATAAAGATCCATTGACAACTAAAAAATGTTAAAAAAAATAAACAAACAAACAATGATGTACCATTGTGAGTGTGCATGTGCATATGTGTGTGTATTTGTGTGTGTGTGTGTGTTGCTGGGGATGGAACCCAGGGTCTCACACATGCTAGGCAAGTGCTTTACCACTGAGACCCATCCCCAACTCCAAGGTTTATCTTAATATCTTACTGTTAAAACTTATTTGTAAACTGAGTGAATAACAATTAATTATAAGAAAGGTGAACACTCGATGAATATTTGTATAATACTTTCCAATATTTTCTCATGCATTAATAATCTTGCGTGGTTCTCACAGAAACCTCCGAGTTAGCTTATTTTCTTAAAAAGATGAAGAAAATAAGTCTCAGGGATATGGAGATTTGCACAAAAAGCTCCCTACTGCAGTAGAGCAATTATGGATTTGAGAATTGGAGGGACAAAATGAATATTTTTTATTACTATAGGTAAAAAATTTAATGTTTAAATATTTCCTATAGCCTTAAAAAAACTTCTAATCTATACCATACTTTGCTTGTTAAAGCACATTACTTCACTTATAATAAACTATTGTGGCTGGGTACAGTGGTGCACACCTGTAATCCCAGTGGCTCAGGAGACTGAGGCAGGAGGATCATGAGTTCAAAGCCAGCCTCAGCAATAGAGAGGTGCTAAGCAATTCAGTGAGACCCTGTCTCTAAAAAAATACAAAATAGAGCTGGGGATGTGGTTTACTGGTCGAGTGCACCTGAGTTTAACTCCTGCTGCCCCAAATATTGTGCTTTTTCTTTAATCTGTTTCTCTCTCTCTCTCTCTCTCTCTCTCTCTCTCTCTCTCTCTCCCTCTCTCTGAATAAATTAGAAATAATTAATTTTTCCTGAATTTGATTATGGGAGAATAATTTAGGAAAGGTTATTATGTTTATAAAAGTAGTTTTCAGGAACATATATATCCTGTACTTTAATTTTCATCATATTATATTAAAATGAATGCATAAATATATTTCTCCATCAATCTCCATATCAGAAAAAGGAATGTGAAGTGCTTAGCCCAGAAAAAAATGACTTGTCAGAGCCTCAATGATGTCAGGATTTATAGTATTACTGAACTAGATTCATTTTTTGTTATTTCCAGTGATTTGTATCTTTGACATGTTTTTTCTAAACATTCAGTCTATCAAATATGAGTTGCCACAGACATTTTTTTCCTGGGGGAAAAAAAATTCCATGTAAAATCTTGGCAATGTGGAATATTGCACAGTTTTGATCTCATTAAAACCAGGGCTGGTCAAGTAAACTCTTGATGCTCTTCATGCCACAATCTGTAAAATCAATAGAAAAATCTGAAAACAAGAACAAAACAAAAACCAAGAGAATAAAAACAAAACAAAACAAAACAACAACAAAACACACTGTTGACTGAGCAATAAATGATTATTTCAAGAATATCAGTGCTATTATAAAATTGTCTACACTTGTAGCTGGTTGAGTGCTACTTACAAGAAAGTAAAATGCTTCCTAAACAACTGGGTAGTGCATTGTTGGAGAACTAAAGAACAAACCAGTGTTCAGCCCATTAAAGATGAAAACAAACTTTCCAGATAGCAGGAATGTATCTAAGTGCAAGAGAAGCACCAGAATCTTTCTAACAGCAAAACATGAAATCTAGGCTTTTCTTTTTGCCTTGTCAAAGGGCATTTGACTCATCCTGAGAAGTTGCTATGGCATAACTGAGAGGAAGATTGAGCCCAACAACCGGCCCTACGATGCTCAGCCATGATGTAATATAGTTGATGTTCCTAGGAAACAAAAGAAATATGGAAAATATTAATATTTTCATTGTCATTTTTTGATGAATGGTAGAAAAGCAGTTAGTCACTGACAAGAACAAAAATGAGGCTTTCTTTAAGGAGGAGTGCCTACCTGGAATTCAGCATTTCTGAATGCCAGCCCCATTATTTGATAAGAATTAGAAGTCCATAGAGGATGTTAGAGTCCCTCACTAAGGAAGTTGAAGGACAACATAAGCAATGGGGATCCTGACTCCCCTTGATGACTCAAAATTTACACCTGAAATTCACTGCATTTATTAAGGTAAGGAACTTCAGTGATTAGGAGCATGATTTTGAGGCAAAAATGTTTTGGATTCAAATTCTAGTTTTACCACTTAACTAGCTTCGTGACCCTGGCAGAGTCTTTAAATTCCTTTGTGTTTTAGTTTCTTTCTCTGTAAACTGAGTAATATAATGGCACTTAGTTCATAGGGATGTTATAAAAGTCCAATTTGTTAATATCTCTAAAGCTCTTAGAACAGCACCTAGCATATAGTAAAAATCAATGTTTTAGTCATTATTATCATATTTCTGGTTTAGCCTAGCTTTTGGAGTTACAGAAAAAGATTTACACTTTTAAAATCAGAGTAGGGGCCAATGTATCTTAAGGGTATTTCTTACCTATTGATTTTCTGAGAATTCTTTAATACAGGAGCCATGAATTCATTAGTCTTGCAGGGATGAAGTACAAAAAAGGGTTGCCCAAGTATTGGATGTTCCTGTAAGAGCCAGAGTTGGTCCAGAATTGTCACTGAAGGTTACTTTGAAAAAGTTATGATATACCTTATATATAAACAGAGATACGATAAATTGTGGTACAAAGGTGTATTAATAATTATAATGCAAAAAAATAAGAAAGCTCATGTATAATGGCATAATTTGGCATGAACAAACTTTATGTACAGAGTTATGAAAAATTGTGCTGTGAATGGATAATTATGAATGTAATTCATTCCACTATTATCATGTATGTAAGAAATAAAAAAGTGAAAAAGTTACAGTAGATAATCTGGTTTACTTCTTCAAAATGAAGGGTTGTCTTGAATTCCAAGTTACTAAATTAGCATACAGGTTGATTTCCTATTTTGAAATATAATTTATAATCCAAATGTGAGAGGTTGGTGAGAATGAAAATTTATTGATAAAGGAGTATTGTGTGAGGCGCATGGATTTACAAACTATAGATAATTTTTTTCAGTTTCCTCTGTTTGTTGGCTAATCTATCTTTTTGGACTACAATTCTCTTTTATTTGTCTTCAGGGATGTCCACGAAGCCCAGTACCTTGACTATGCATTTCACTCATCTCTGTCAATGGTAAAGGAATCAAAATCATCCCCTACTCTCAATTTCTCTTTTCTGTTTATTTCCTTGGTTTCTCCCAAGCTTACAGGCTGTTCCTATATGGTAAAATCTCATATGATATAACTCCATTTCCTTTATAAAAGAATAATTGGATATAAGGTATAGGTTAGACTGCTGCTGGTTTTGAGATGGCCATTATTTAGCAAGCAATAGGAAGCCCTAGAAGGCTTCTATATTGTAAGTAAACTTATACAAAGATTATCAACACAAAAAATTTATTGATGATAAGTTCATCAATTTTACATGGTGGATTAAAAAGTGTGGCACACACCACAAATTCAAATAGCTATGGTGTTCAGCCAGATGACCCAAAGGGGGAATGACAGTTAAATACACCAACAGCAACAAGGACTACCACCAGCAGTTTGGACCAACTGGAGAGTGCTGCCATCTAAGGCCATGCTTGCTACTCTGCTCCAGCTGATAGTGCCATGTGGGAAATTGAGTCCAGCATGCCAGACCTCATTTGTCAAAGAACTGTAATGCAAAAAAAAAAAAAAAAAAATAGTGTTACCTTAGATTAGGTAGAGGGGGGAAGGCAGGGGATATGGGGATAAGAAAGACAGAAGAATAAAACAGACATTATTACTTTATGTATATATGTGACTATATGACCAATATGATTCTATATGTACACTCAGAAAAATGAGAAATTATATCCCATCTATGTATGATATATCAAAGTATATAAGTGCATTCTACTGTCATGTATAAGTAATTAAAACAAATAAAAAATTAAAAAAAAATGCCAGAAGATCAAAAGTTCATGTAAAGCCTCCTATATTTAAATATTGGTACATTTTTAAAAACATAGGTGAGCCAAATACAACAGCTGTATTTGAACTAGAGGCTGCCCAGTTGCTTCTCTTGAATTCTCCTAGCCAACTCGCTGAGAGTTAAACTCAGATCTGCTCATAGGAAGAATCATGTGGTTGTTCCTGCTGCCTCCACCCTCAGCCCCAAGCATTCACATCTGCATGCATGGGCTACACTCACAAGAACTGGGACAGCCAGTTGCATTTGTATTGGTGACATTGGGAGTGGAGATTTGGGGGTTTGTGCGGAGGGAAGAGTTGTCCATTAATAGTAGACTGTTGTATGATTCTGTGTGCCCGGCCTGGCATTTTTTTTCTCCCCAAATACCGCCTCTAAACATCTCTGCCCAGTAGCTTGATTTTTCCAGCTAAGGGTCAGCCTCCTCCATCCAGCTCTTTTTCTCTTTTTCCCAGCCCTAACTGAACTCTGGGGTCACAGTTCAGATGTTAATTATGCCTATGGCAAGTCTCCTGTCCATTTTTATTCTGGTTTCTCTTATCTGCCTTAAATTAATATCTATTTTATATATAATATAAATTATATATATTATAAAATTTACCTTTTATCTGTTTGCCAAGAACAGTTCTGAATATAGTTATAGAGATAAGCAAAGTCTCTGATCTCATGGAACTGATTCCAGTATAGGAGACAGCCAACAAACACTGATAAATACACAAGATAATCCAGATAGTAAGTGCTATGGGAGAACCTAAGAGGGTAATAAAATTCTGGAGGGATCAAGGTGATATTAGATTTGGTGAAAAGGAAAGCCTTACTGAAGAGATGTGCAATGGTAAATATTTATATCCCTCAACCCTGATTCAGGTGATGAAATCCGAACTCCCAAGCAGTTAGTATTAGAAGATGGGGTCTTGGTTAGGTTTTAATGGGAAGAATGTTCTCAAAAATGGACCCAGAGGGCTCTCTCCACTCCCTTCTTGTTATGAAAGTACCCATCAAGAAGACAACCATCTATGATCTTACACTCCTAGCCTATAAAACTGTGAAAAATAGAATGTTGTTTAAACCACCCATTTTCTTATGTTTTTGTTGTAGCAGCCTGAACAGACTAAGACAAGGTAATATTTTTACAGAAATCAGAATGACAAGAAAAAGCCAACTGTGCAGAAGTATGAGGACACAGTGTTGAAGCCAGAAGACCCTAAAAGAAAGTGAGCATAATAAATGTGCAAAGGAAGCCAGGTGTGGTTGCACACACCTGTAATCCCAGCAACTCAGGAGGCTGAGGCAGGAGAATCACGTGTTCAAAGCCAGTCTCAGCAAAAGGTGAGGTACTAAGCAACTGAGTGAGACCCTGTCTCTAAATAAAAATACAAAATAGGGCTGGGGATGTGGCTCAGTGGTTGAGTGCCCCTGAGTTCAATTTCCAGTACCAAAAATTAAAAATAAATGAATAAATAAATAAATAAGCAAAGGAAATACAAAAGAACTTTAGAGTTATTCTGGGCCAAAATAAATACTGTTTAGGGGGTTGAGATGTAGTATGCCGACTTTAAGTTCTTTGGGTATAAACCCAGGAGTGTGATAGCTGGGTCAAATGGTGGTTCCATTCCAAGTTTTCTGAGGTATCTCCATACTGCTTTCCATAGTGGCTGCACCAATTTGCAGTCCTACCAGCAATGTATGAGTGTGCCTTTTCCCCCCACATCCTCAACAATACTTATTATAGCTTGTATTCTTGATAATTGCCATTCTGACTGGAGTGAGATGAAATCTTAGTTTTGATTTGCATTTCTCTAATTGCTAGAGATGATGAACATTTTTCCACGTTTGTTGATGAATTGTATTTCTTCTTCTGTGACATATCTGTTCATTTCCTTAGCCCATTTATTGATTGGGTTATTTAGTTTTTTTGGTGTTAAGTTTTTTGAGTTCTTTATATATCCTGGACATTAGTGCTCTATCTGAGGTGTATGGTAAAGATTTTTTCCCATTCTGTAGGCTCTCTCTTCATGTTATTGATTGTTTCCTTTGTTGAGAAGAAACTTTTTTGTTTGAATCTATCCCATTTATTGATTCTTCATTTTGCTTCCTGCACTTTAGGAGTCTTGTTAAGGAAGTCAGGTCCTAAGCCAAAATGATGAAGATATGGGCCTACTTTTTCTTCTATTAGGCACAGAGTCTCTGTTCTAGTGCCTACGTCTTTGATACACCTTGAGCTGATTTTTTGCAGGGTAAGAGATAGAGGTTTAATTTCATTTTGCTACATATGAATTTCCAGTTTCCCCAGCACCATTTCTTGACAAGGCTATCTTTTCTCCAATGTATTTTTGGTGTCTTTGTCTAGTATGAGATAGCTGTATTTATGTGGATTTGTCTCTGTGTCTTCTATTTTGTACCATTGGTCAACATATGTATTTTGGTGACAATACCATGCAGTTTTTGTTACTATGGCTCTGCAGTATATTTTAATGTCTGGTATTATGATGCCTCCTGTTTCACTCTTCTTGCTAATTATTGCTTTGGCTATTCTGGGTCTCTTATTTTTTCAAATGCATTTCATGATTGCTTTTCCTAGTTCTATGAAGAATGTCATTGGGATTTTAACAGGAATTGTATTAAATCTGTATAACAGTTTTGGTAGTATGGCTATTTTGAGAATATTAATTCTTCCTATCCAAGAGCATGGGAGACCTTTCCATCTTCTGAGATTGTCTTCAATTTCTTTCTTTACCACATACATAAGCTTTTAATAAAAAAATTTATAAAGAAATAATAACAGGAGAGAACTATCTGCTGGGGCAGAGTAAATAGTTCAGCACATCCTCTCTAACAAAAATAAAGAAAAAAAACTGAATGAAATTGTCAAAAACAAACACTTTCCAGATTCTGGAAATCAACCAGGGGCAAATAAAAATTTTGAAAAGTGTTTGCAGAACTTCAAGTTAGAATCAGAGGGAATCTTCAGCTTTCTTAGCTAGAAATTCTATTTTCATATCCTCCCACCTGGCTTGATTCACAGGGAAGTCTGACCAGGGTAGGGCTGGCCCTAAGTACCAGTAGCTGTGCTGCCTTGATATCTAATAGACAGTGAAAACTATTTGTTAGCAACATTGTCAATAAAAATCACAAAACAGGTGCTAAATGAAAAGGAGAAACCACAGCTCTACCCAAAGAGGTTGCAGTCCCAGTAAAGGTAGGCAACAGACAAGCCAGATATTTAATGGAAAGATCCTGGAATTGAGATAGTTGCAGAAGGGCAAGACAAATTCTGTAGACATCCCTGGCTGGTGGGAACTATACACATGTACAAGAAAGACACAGGAAGATCTGATGGAAAGTAAAAGCTAAGGTCAATTTGAATGCTTCCTGAATTTGGAATGTATTCCTAACCTATACACATCCATCAGCAAAAGAGGGAGGCCTTATGGACTTGAGGTATTTGAGCACAATCTTTCTCCAATCATTGTCTAACCAGCAAGCTATATAGATACAGTTGGATGAGACAGAGGAAGGAAGGTTAAAAATCAAAGAATTAAAAAACTAGCAGAGACAGAAGTAGCCATAGTTACAGGAGAG